AGTATTATTTTTCCAAAAATTTTAGATGAAATTTGACCTATTGCGAAAGTAAGACATTTTCTGATTTTTAACGTCACCACATTTTTGAATCCGATAATTTTAGGTTTCCTTTTTTAAAATAGCCTAACTAGGGACGTAAAATGTGAAAATTAAACTTCAGAAAATCGTAGGGAATCATAAGAGGAGCTTCGAAAGCTGTACGTGAATGGAACGGTCATGTAGGAATTTTTAGCCGTCCTTAAGTAACAGAAACTTTCTAGGCAATATTTGTTTCTCCGAACAGATATTTTACAAAAACAGGAGCTGACAGAAAACAGTCGTTGGGTACCCCTGTGAAACTGATAATAAAGTAACACGTATCAAACAATTGCGCATACAGTTAGTTATTACCCATGAAAAAGACTCAGGTTTTCAACCCAGCGTGGAAGTGAAAACAAAAATGGTTGAACACAAACGGTTGCGCCGGAGAACTTTTACATTCGCGCGGAATAGTATTTAAGGAAAACTTGGGAGAAAAGCAGACGATATTGTGCATTCATAGTCTCATGATATTTTGATTTTGCTGACATAGTTTTAATTTTTTGAAATTTTAGCGCTTTTGTCAGAAAAATTAACCATTTACGCCGAGTGGGAGGAAATGAAATTGTCGGTCAAGATCTGCCAAAATACCAGAAGATTAGTGATCCGCCAAAATACCAAACGAACGCTTTTTCGTGTCGTCGTCTCCTATGATTTCTTTTGGTTTTGGTCAAAAACCTCTCTTTTTTTCTCAATGTTGTTGTGTTGTATTTTGAAAGTTATTTTTAGGGTTTGTATTTTATTTTAAGTTTCGTTTTTGTTTCATTAAGTGGGTCAAGGTTAGTCTGGATTTGTCCACATAAGCGTTTTCCTATGTTGATCTTGTGCTTTTACTTTTACTTGAATTTTTGCTAAGCTCTCGGATTTACTTAATGCCATTTTAGGAATATTGTTCGCTTGCCATTGACAAATGTTAGTTTTTCATAGGTGGTCGTGTTTGTCATGTCAGAGCTGACCTCACCTTGGTTCATTAGTCTCGTTAAAGTTCGTGTTTGGGTTTGTAACCAGCGTTTCAGTTTTTCATTGGTTTTAGTTCTTGCCGATCGCAACCATGTAAGTTCAGTATTACCAAAACACTACCCACACCCTGATGTGTGATATTTTATTCCCACGATCAAATAACCCAAACATGTCCAACTTTGGCTATAAAAACCGCTACCGTATACTTGAACTAGTTTAGAGTAAGGATTGAGTAGAGAAGAACAGTAAGAGGATTAAGGTTGTTAGCAGAAGTCAAAAAAGAACAAAGACCCAGATGTGAATTAGATTCTTGGAACCTCATCGTGTAGCGAGCGAGTTGCNTGAAAAATGTTACCAATTAAGATTCCCGAGCCAACATGTTACCTACCATTGACGTAAAAGCTATGTCGACGCTACAGTCAGCACTACAAAGTTGACGCGGTTGTAATGTAAAACAATCATTTTGCAACTTTGTTATGAATTCTAAAGGAAATCAAATCACTAGAGCTGGTTCGCGGAAATATCAATGATACGATACACCAGAGTTGGTGGAAAGTACGTTATTAAACTTAAGATGACCGTTTCATACGGAAAATTTTATCTTTGAACCATATCTAGAGCTGTGCAAGATGAAACGGGAATCAGTCGGAGCCAAGAAATAAAAATAGTGTAATTTATCATCCTGATCCGTGACGATCCGCAGCCAAACGAGAACACTGTTTTTAAAGACTGACATGTTTTGGGGATTTGAAGGAGGCTGAAAAAAAGCGGCAGCATGGGACCTTAAGTCGCCGTAAGCTAAGGCGATTTAAGGCGACTTTACTAAAATTTGCTCAAAATGTTAGGCGATCTAACGCGACTTTAAGCGATTTAATGTGATCTTAGACGACTTTAGGCGATTTGAGGTGACCTAAGGTAAATTAAATGTAAGTATATTTGAAATTGACATCTCTTGAGAAAAACACCTCTCCGCTATGGACACAATATCATAGCATAAGTAAATTCAGTCTTGGATGTACCTAAATTCTGATTGTTCACTTGTCAGCATTTTTCATGTTCATAAATAACAATAATTCAAAAAAAGATAACAAAAGCAGTAAGTTAATGAGTTGGTTATGATACAGTATAGTCTAAGAATGAGAACTGTTAACCACGTAGGGCGCACAGCGTAGCCTACGTGACCTTAAAAGGAACTAAATTACTATAGAAAACGAACTTTGTTATGGAATCCCGAAATGGAACAATACAATGGCAAAATTTAAAAAATTAATAATGATAATAATAATTATTATAACCATAATAATGAATAATAACAATACAAAAAGATACAAGTGAAGAGAATAAAATGTAACTGAATATGTAATGAATAACGTAAATGAATATCTGTAAATGAGAAAAAAATTCTTTTCGAATCTAGACTAGTCCTGAAAAAAGCACTTAAAACGTCACTTCTGCGACCTCATCGAAACACGGCCCTAATACGTCCTTTCCGACAATTAAAAAACAGTTGCTTTGAAAGTACGTGCTCTATATGTTTAACGAGCACGAGATTGTGGCTGTCTGTATTCTTCGCATAACATCCTTTGCCCTTGCATCAACGAGCTTCTTCATAGTCAGCTCAAGGTCCTTTGACCACCCTCCTAGCTTATCAATGACAATATTACATTGCTCAATGTTATCTATAACCTGGGTATTGCCTCCTCAGCTACGTACACTGCCCAAACTTTCTTTCCCTTATGATCCGCAAAACCGTGCATCCACTCCGTTATCCTTGACACAGGTATGGTCAGCGTAAACCGGCAAATCCCAGTAGGCTTGCCCATCAGGTGACTTAGGTATCTTCAAGGAGGCGCTATTACTATTATTAGTTACCAATATTTAGAGAGGACATACTCCTTCGACAGTGTTGATATCAACGAAAGTTTTCATAAGTTAAAATTGCATATAAGAATATAAAAGAAAGAAAGTGCAGATACTTGCAAAATGAATTTATACAACAAAATTACAAAATAATGTTTCTTAAATAATCAATTCTGTGTCACTATATGTTCCCTGCATAGTACAAATCTACTTCCGAAAGAGATAGTTTTCGAAAAATAACTGCGTGAACAAAGTGTCAATCTTCCACCAAGTCTCCGTCTAACAAAGTAAACGTCGATGGTAGTCGAACCAGTTGCTCCTGCAGCATTTCTAACCGCCTTTGCATCGCTGTTGGAGGATCTTCCTTGCCATCTTCACTTCCAAACTTTCTTGCTGTTGCTATAAATGGAGTTGCACTAAAGTCAGGTGATTTACTTTCTGGGACGACACTGTCTGTGATTCCCATGTGCATTTGGAGTGTACGCACGTAGTCAGCCAGCACCACTGTCTTGGGATTGGCTTTCGTGCTTTTAGCTTGTGATTGGCTGAGAACTTTTTCTCTGATCAACTTTTGCAACTTACCAGCGCTCAAAGGAGTCACCTTTTCTGTTTTATAGACACCATTTTCTTCATTTTTCTCCATGAATTTCTCTTCTTTTAGTACGTCTTCGCCAACTGTAAAACTACGCTCACCGTGGGCCACCAAATCGCCTCTTTTATTCAAACGACTGGTTTGTTTCTGTAACCGGATCGGAAGAATCACTCTGTTCGTTACTGCTTGAATAAAATTTCTTTTTTTGTCACCAGTCCCCAATACTCCCGACGAGGAGCCTTTTGTCTCAAATTCTTTTTTTGCAATTTCAGACTTATTTTTTTTGTCACACTTTGATTCATCAAATTTTTTCTCCACAGTAGTAAAGCCCTGAGAGGTCTTCCCTAGGGCAACTTTTTTATCTTCTTCCAGATCGTGGTAAGCGACCACCTCGTAGTCCGAAAGTACTTCTAGTTCTCCTTTCTTCAGACTTTCTCCTGAGCAACTAGTACAATATCTATCATGCAGTGTTGCATTGTTCCCTTTGGGGCCCACAAATGCTCCCTGGATATTTCTTCTCCTCGTAACAGCGCTTGAGCCTTTTCTTGCTATAGGTTTTTGCGAGGGAAAGACCTCCTGATTCCTTACATGACGGAAATCTTTTCGATATTCATTTCTATCTTTCGTGCTCAAAACAGAGGATCTTTGGAATGACATACTCATTGAATCACTGGTAGGCGAGGTAAACTGGTTTTTGCAAGTTTGGGACATTGATGATGGTGTATGCGCGTTGACCATTTTACCTCCTTCCTCAAAACTGTAAATTAAATAATGGAAAGTCATAAAAACTGAAGTTGAATCAAAAGCAGTTAATTAAAGTTCACCAGAGCTTCTATTTTCCGTAGAAACCATATTTTTACTACTGAATCATGAGAGGACTGTATAATTTCAAAAAAACAGAAATTAGTTTTATCTATTTCTGTTGGGGTAGAAATTTGCGATTTAGAGCTAAATGGAAATTTAAATGTTCCGTTTTATATACTTGAAACAAAGACTCCAGCCAGAAGAACCTGAGCGAGCGCATATATCTGGGACTAAATTAAGTGTGGGTTGTTTAGGGGTTTATGCGATGCTCCTAAGGGGAAAACTGCCGTGAAATTCATCCCAAACCTAAAGCAGTTTACTCACGACTGATTAAAACGTCTGATAAAAATCAGATCAGTTTTGATATTTAGTGAAATTCGTGAGCAATTTCATAGTTGCTTTGGTTTTGCATTGCCTTGCCTTGTTTCAGCAGTTGGCTGACTCATCTGGCATATCTTCAGTCAAATCTTACCGCATCCTTTCGTCCCCTGGTGTATTTGACTCGGTTGGTTGATACTATTTTCCTCGATTTCTGTGATTTGCCATAGTGACTATGGTCTAATGTGGCTACAAAATATGCCCCCTTAACTCATTGTATTGGTGACGTTGAGAGATTGTTTTGGGTGACGAATTTGGCCCCAGTCTCCCATGAAACCTTATAATTGCCAATAACATAAGGGATACTATGCCCAAAACGACTCCATCACACAACAACTACGCGCGCAGTCTCAAGGACAACCTCAAATCAGCCAATAAATTAAAGTCACAAACAAAGGTACCTGTTCGTAGGCTTTCCCTTGTAGCTCAAACTACCCTTTAACATATTTATCCTGGTATACACTCCCACAGTATCCTCCAACTGCATTTCTCGTTGCTTATCGCCTTGTAGTTGCTGCTGCTGTTTTTCCTTTGAGCGCATGGACTGCCGCCTTAAGATCTCACGTTTTACCTCACGCGGGATAGTCATTCCCCGCAAAGACTGGAGACTAGATTGAGTAGAAGGTCTAGTTCCGTGATCCCGAGTGTTCTCCGGAGCAAGAGGACGACGAATGCTTTTGATTTGCCGACAGTCACTCTTAGCTTGCATTCCTCGTGAAGAAGCTAAAAATATTTAAAAGTTTTCTAGGTAAAATTTATGCAGTATTATTTTTCTTACTCTTACAAACTATAGTCGCACAAGCCAACATTTCCCCCCTCATTCTTAGTACATTCTTAAATATGATGTCATTCTTAAGTTTGAAAAATGTTACCAATTAAGATTCCCGAGCCAACATGTTACCTACCATTGACGTAAAAGCTATGTCGACGCTACAGTCAGCACTACAAAGTTGACGCGGTTGTAATGTAAAACAATCATTTTGCAACTTTGTTATGAATTCTAAAGGAAATCAAATCACTAGAGCTGGTTCGCGGAAATATCAATGATACGATACACCAGAGTTGGTGGAAAGTACGTTATTAAACTTAAGATGACCGTTTCATACGGAAAATTTTATCTTTGAACCATATCTAGAGCTGTGCAAGATGAAACGGGAATCAGTCGGAGCCAAGAAATAAAAATAGTGTAATTTATCATCCTGATCCGTGACGATCCGCAGCCAAACGAGAACACTGTTTTTAAAGACTGACATGTTTTGGGGATTTGAAGGAGGCTGAAAAAAAGCGGCAGCATGGGACCTTAAGTCGCCGTAAGCTAAGGCGATTTAAGGCGACTTTACTAAAATTTGCTCAAAATGTTAGGCGATCTAACGCGACTTTAAGCGATTTAATGTGATCTTAGACGACTTTAGGCGATTTGAGGTGACCTAAGGTAAATTAAATGTAAGTATATTTGAAATTGACATCTCTTGAGAAAAACACCTCTCCGCTATGGACACAATATCATAGCATAAGTAAATTCAGTCTTGGATGTACCTAAATTCTGATTGTTCACTTGTCAGCATTTTTCATGTTCATAAATAACAATAATTCAAAAAAAGATAACAAAAGCAGTAAGTTAATGAGTTGGTTATGATACAGTATAGTCTAAGAATGAGAACTGTTAACCACGTAGGGCGCACAGCGTAGCCTACGTGACCTTAAAAGGAACTAAATTACTATAGAAAACGAACTTTGTTATGGAATCCCGAAATGGAACAATACAATGGCAAAATTTAAAAAATTAATAATGATAATAATAATTATTATAACCATAATAATGAATAATAACAATACAAAAAGATACAAGTGAAGAGAATAAAATGTAACTGAATATGTAATGAATAACGTAAATGAATATCTGTAAATGAGAAAAAAATTCTTTTCGAATCTAGACTAGTCCTGAAAAAAGCACTTAAAACGTCACTTCTGCGACCTCATCGAAACACGGCCCTAATACGTCCTTTCCGACAATTAAAAAACAGTTGCTTTGAAAGTACGTGCTCTATATGTTTAACGAGCACGAGATTGTGGCTGTCTGTATTCTTCGCATAACATCCTTTGCCCTTGCATCAACGAGCTTCTTCATAGTCAGCTCAAGGTCCTTTGACCACCCTCCTAGCTTATCAATGACAATATTACATTGCTCAATGTTATCTATAACCTGGGTATTGCCTCCTCAGCTACGTACACTGCCCAAACTTTCTTTCCCTTATGATCCGCAAAACCGTGCATCCACTCCGTTATCCTTGACACAGGTATGGTCAGCGTAAACCGGCAAATCCCAGTAGGCTTGCCCATCAGGTGACTTAGGTATCTTCAAGGAGGCGCTATTACTATTATTAGTTACCAATATTTAGAGAGGACATACTCCTTCGACAGTGTTGATATCAACGAAAGTTTTCATAAGTTAAAATTGCATATAAGAATATAAAAGAAAGAAAGTGCAGATACTTGCAAAATGAATTTATACAACAAAATTACAAAATAATGTTTCTTAAATAATCAATTCTGTGTCACTATATGTTCCCTGCATAGTACAAATCTACTTCCGAAAGAGATAGTTTTCGAAAAATAACTGCGTGAACAAAGTGTCAATCTTCCACCAAGTCTCCGTCTAACAAAGTAAACGTCGATGGTAGTCGAACCAGTTGCTCCTGCAGCATTTCTAACCGCCTTTGCATCGCTGTTGGAGGATCTTCCTTGCCATCTTCACTTCCAAACTTTCTTGCTGTTGCTATAAATGGAGTTGCACTAAAGTCAGGTGATTTACTTTCTGGGACGACACTGTCTGTGATTCCCATGTGCATTTGGAGTGTACGCACGTAGTCAGCCAGCACCACTGTCTTGGGATTGGCTTTCGTGCTTTTAGCTTGTGATTGGCTGAGAACTTTTTCTCTGATCAACTTTTGCAACTTACCAGCGCTCAAAGGAGTCACCTTTTCTGTTTTATAGACACCATTTTCTTCATTTTTCTCCATGAATTTCTCTTCTTTTAGTACGTCTTCGCCAACTGTAAAACTACGCTCACGGTGGACCACCAAATCGCCTCTTTTATTCAAACGACTGGTTTGTTTCTGTAACCGGATCGGAAGAATCACTCTGTTCGTTACTGCTTGAATAAAATTTCTTTTTTTGTCACCAGTCCCCAATACTCCCGACGAGGAGCCTTTTGTCTCAAATTCTTTTTTTGCAATTTCAGACTTATTTTTTTTGTCACACTTTGATTCATCAAATTTTTTCTCCACAGTAGTAAAGCCCTGAGAGGTCTTCCCTAGGGCAACTTTTTTATCTTCTTCCAGATCGTGGTAAGCGACCACCTCGTAGTCCGAAAGTACTTCTAGTTCTCCTTTCTTCAGACTTTCTCCTGAGCAACTAGTACAATATCTATCATGCAGTGTTGCATTGTTCCCTTTGGGGCCCACAAATGCTCCCTGGATATTTCTTCTCCTCGTAACAGCGCTTGAGCCTTTTCTTGCTATAGGTTTTTGCGAGGGAAAGACCTCCTGATTCCTTACATGACGGAAATCTTTTCGATATTCATTTCTATCTTTCGTGCTCAAAACAGAGGATCTTTGGAATGACATACTCATTGAATCACTGGTAGGCGAGGTAAACTGGTTTTTGCAAGTTTGGGACATTGATGATGGTGTATGCGCGTTGACCATTTTACCTCCTTCCTCAAAACTGTAAATTAAATAATGGAAAGTCATAAAAACTGAAGTTGAATCAAAAGCAGTTAATTAAAGTTCACCAGAGCTTCTATTTTCCGTAGAAACCATATTTTTACTACTGAATCATGAGAGGACTGTATAATTTCAAAAAAACAGAAATTAGTTTTATCTATTTCTGTTGGGGTAGAAATTTGCGATTTAGAGCTAAATGGAAATTTAAATGTTCCGTTTTATATACTTGAAACAAAGACTCCAGCCAGAAGAACCTGAGCGAGCGCATATATCTGGGACTAAATTAAGTGTGGGTTGTTTAGGGGTTTATGCGATGCTCCTAAGGGGAAAACTGCCGTGAAATTCATCCCAAACCTAAAGCAGTTTACTCACGACTGATTAAAACGTCTGATAAAAATCAGATCAGTTTTGATATTTAGTGAAATTCGTGAGCAATTTCATAGTTGCTTTGGTTTTGCATTGCCTTGCCTTGTTTCAGCAGTTGGCTGACTCATCTGGCATATCTTCAGTCAAATCTTACCGCATCCTTTCGTCCCCTGGTGTATTTGACTCGGTTGGTTGATACTATTTTCCTCGATTTCTGTGATTTGCCATAGTGACTATGGTCTAATGTGGCTACAAAATATGCCCCCTTAACTCATTGTATTGGTGACGTTGAGAGATTGTTTTGGGTGACGAATTTGGCCCCAGTCTCCCATGAAACCTTATAATTGCCAATAACATAAGGGATACTATGCCCAAAACGACTCCATCACACAACAACTACGCGCGCAGTCTCAAGGACAACCTCAAATCAGCCAATAAATTAAAGTCACAAACAAAGATACCTGTTCGTAGGCTTTCCCTTGTAGCTCAAACTACCCTTTAAGATATTTATCCTGGTATACACTCCCACAGTATCCTCCAACTGCATTTCTCGTTGCTTATCGCCTTGTAGTTGCTGCTGCTGTTTTTCCTTTGAGCGCATGGACTGCCGCCTTAAGATCTCACGTTTTACCTCACGCGGGATAGTCATTCCCCGCAAAGACTGGAGACTAGATTGAGTAGAAGGTCTAGTTCCGTGATCCCGAGTGTTCTCCGGAGCAAGAGGACGACGAATGCTTTTGATTTGCCGACAGTCACTCTTAGCTTGCATTCCTCGTGAAGAAGCTAGCTGATGGTGTGTATCTCCAGAAATAAGACTTCCTAACGGTGTTAAACCTGCGAATCAAAGGAAAAGGTTAAAAATACAACAAGACGCTGTTCAGGAACATATACAGCGCCGGTTCCAGACCTTGAGATAAGGGGGGAGGGGGTGGGTGGTCATCCAGACCCTTAGATAAGGAGGAGGGCCCGGTCTCCTAAAAAACTTTTTTCGGCCCTTCGGGCCTCAGTTTGGTCTAAAAATAAGGTAGAGGGACCGGGCCCCCGGGTCCCTCCCCTGGATCCGCCACTGATATATCCCCATGTAAGGGAATCCAAGACAGTATTGGATTCTAGATTCCACTCTGTGGATTCCGTAATTCAGGTACTGGATTCAGGATTCTTTGTCAGTGGAACTTGGATCCCGGATTCGAATCGTTAGTGGGATTCCGGAGTCCTTGATTTGTATTCCGGATTCCACGAGCAAAAATTTCCTGGATTCCGGAATTCAGAATCCCTAACATGGGGCAAAACATATCCACTTTTCCTTTTGGTAGCCGATCAACAGAAAATAAAGAGAGGAGACCAGGGCCGGGTTGTTCGAAGGTGGGTGAAGATAACCCAGGGTTAGTGTGAATTTGAACTCAGATATGAGAGCATAAAAGCAAATTCAGTTTAATTCTCTTTACCTATAATTTGATGATTGGACTGAATGACTCTAAAAAAAATATAGGAAATCATCTGAGAGAGTGCTTTTGATGAAAAGAAAAAGAAGCCCTGGTTAAAATTTAACCCTGGTTTAGCACAAACCGGCGTTCGAACAACTGGGCCCAGTGCAGAAAAGACATTTATATTTTTTTGCCTAGGCTGTGTTCGACGCTGGCTTTTTACTCTGGCTTTAACATTGAAAGAAAGTTCGGCTACATTTCTCGCAACTCAGTGCGAAATTGCAATCCGATCTCTTCCTTGCTGTTGTTATTGCATGTTGCTGCTTTTTTAGGAGCATGTTTTGGGAGGAAGAAATCTGCAGAGTATATTTTTAACCTGTGCGTATGCAACTCTCGTTTTATTGACGCACTTCCTAACAGGTGGTTACCATAAGTGAATATATTCTAAGGTGTGCAGTCTTGCTGAACGTCTTCCCTGTCTCACATTTTAACAATTGTTGCATCGTTGGTTATAAACGAGTATTGCAAAGTGCGAAAAATGCCTGAGATCACAGCATATCAAAGAGGTTAAAAGATCGATAATTGAAAAAGATCTACGAATACGTTTCCTGGCGTTGACCTCTCGATGTATTTACAATAACCTTCTTTGACATACCTTCTCTTTGGCAGCTTAGGTGAAAAACAACTTGTTCGAGGTTACTTTTCTCTTCTCGGTATTTTTTCAAATTACGTCTCAATTCGTCTTTGATCGCGTCTATTTTCCGTAGCAACAACGCATTTTCTTTTCGAGTTTTGCCATAACAAACATTTCTTGCTGTGTTGGAGATAGTTCTTGGGTCCAAAACGTAGGGCTTTGAAAAGATTGTCCTCAAGAAGTTGTTATCAGTTTCGAGATATTTTTTGTGAGCCACACCATAAAAACTCTTGTGTCTAACACTGCAATCCATGTTTTAAATTACTTAACTGGATGTCGAATGCATTTCTTTCAATATTCTACAAAGTGTTTCACGGCAGCTTTCAACTTTGGAAAAAAATGACTGCTGTTACGCGATTGGCTCAAACAGTGAATAATATGCCTCAGAAACTAATTAAAGATAAAATCCACTTTTTTAGCAAACCGTGCAGGTGTTAAGTGGCCACGCTTGAATTGACAAACCATATTGTCCGTTTTCTTATAGTCGACTGTTAAGCGATAACACTAGAATTCTCTTCACTGAAACACTCTTTGGATGAATGTTTTCCAAGGATCATATAAGTTCTAGCTTAAATTTAATTCTTTTTAACGCTTTTTAGGCCAGTTCTCACTACATGAAAGGGGGGGGAAAGATAAATGTTATTTGAATATTCGACTAATGGATTTTTTATTAGTCTACTAAAAAGTGTATTATAAGCATTCCTTTCACAGCTTGAGATAAAACTTTAAACTCAGTTAACCATCTTTGTATAGCTTCGGTTTAAATAACGCCAAAAACAAAAACAAAACAAAAAACTTTACTCAACTAGAAAACCAAATCAAAACCAACAGCAGCAAAAACACAAAGACAGTGTGATACTCGCCTGACTACCAATGCAATTTTGCCTCGTGTTTTTGTTGTTTCATTTGCTAAATCCTCATCTTAAATCCTCTCCTCTTTACAAAGATGATATGTAATTTCACATTAAGGAACATGTCTAGATCAACATTGTAAAGGGGAACCGGGAAAGAGTGAAGGGAGGCAGAGTAGTCTTTAACAATTTTTGCTGGAATTCGAGATTGTAGCTTCGCATTCACTGGTGCAAAGTGCAAAGAGCAAGTTTTTTTTTAAAGTAACGCATTACACAGTCGTATCCCCTTGATTGAGACGGCTGTATTCGTAGGCTAATATAGATTTTCTCCTCGTGGTCCCCCATCCCGTGCAGCTTGAAAATTAAGACCAGTAACTTGTGGGTATTTTTTCAAAACATACCCCATTAAAACATGGAAAATCCAGTTCCTGACAAAACGCGCTAAAACAAATCATTCGAGGTTGGCCTGGAGGGTGGAGGGTTGGGGTCGTATAGTATACACAAATTTAGTAACACAAAAAAGATCAATGTCGATGAATGGTTTCCCAAACTATAATGTGGGTTCAAGATCAACGAAAAGAACGGATACTGTTAAGAAGAAGCAAGGCTTAGGTGCTGTTTACATGAAGGAAGATCGTAGCACCACGAAGATCCTAGAAGGCGGATCATCTTAGCGCCATGCCGTAAAATTCCGAAAATAAGCCCTAGGGCTTTTATTTTTCAAAGGTCCTTTTTGAGGAGCTTATTTTTGGAGAGGCTTATATTCGGAGGGGCTTACCTATGGAGGGAAATTTGCGTTTCAAAGTCAAAAGGGCTAGCCTTATAGCTGGAAGGATTTTTACCGTTTTTGCTTTATTTTACTTTGTATTTGAGGGCAAGTTCCAAATACAAGCCCCCGGAGGGCTTATATTCGGAGGGACGATTTAACGGAGGGTTTTTTGCGTTACAAGTTTGGGGGGTTTATATTTGGAGGGGCATATGCATGGAGGGGCTTATTTTCGGAATTTTACGGTATGGTTTCTGTATTCAGTTTACATGAGAAGAGTTGTACTTGTCCTTAGCGCTAGGATCGTCCTAGCTAGTACTAAGGGAGGTAGGAAATCCTAACACAATGTAAACTACTTTCGCTAGGAAGACTCTTGACTAGTAAAAGGGACCAACGAGACAAGAATGGAGCGGTTCGTTCAGTGGGTAATCAAGGCAATGAAGGCCAATCATTTCGTTTGGCGTTACTACGAGCAGATAATTGTGATAATTCTGCTGAAAGGTGGTTATTAACGCCAGTAAAGAGAACAGAAGGGCCCAATTGCTTTGCCAGCCATCTTTAATTCCGCCTCTACTTGGTAACCACTCGGGCCGAATTTTCTAGCTGCATCTAAACCCAACCAAAAAAGTTGTTCCGCCTTCTACGATCTTCTCCCAGCCCCTTATTGTACACCAAGGAGAATGATGGATGTTTTTTGTATGAATTTAGACGTGACTTCGAAAGAGCGCAAAATCGATATACTCCTAAATGCCGAGGTCTTTTCGGGAACTAACTTGCCATTCTTACCAGTTTGTTCCAGGCGAAGATTGTAAAGAGCCCATTGCAGATTTCGCATGTCATCCTCATAATGTCGAATTCTAGTTTCATTGTCTTTTCGTAAATCGCCTAGCGTGGACTGAAGAACACCAAACTCGCGCCTGTCTCTGCACAAAAACGAACGCTTAGCATCTTTTTTGACTCTAAAGATATCCATTGTTTCCTCTCTGCAGCGAGATTCATTTTCTTTGGTAATCTGAATTTTCGCCGTTGTTGATAAATCCATTCTTTGACCAGCGCGAGCAAGGCAGCTTACAACTCAAACTGCTTTAATTAAAAACTACACTTACGGTTCTCTGTAGTGAGATAGATTCGACTGTGAATATATAAAGCAACTTTTCACAACGTTTGTAAAACATTCACCGCTCCCATTCCGCTGTCTTAAAATAGCCACTTCAGCTGCTGCTTGTTTTGTAAATAAATCAATTAAAAATTGGAAAAGAAATAGCAAGAACATGGAGTCACATATCGAGAGCTCAGCTTCTCCGGAAATCTATGGCCATTCAAGCGGGAAAAAAAGAAAGGTGGGTTTGATGGCTGATTTCATAAGCATGCACGTACATAAAAGAAAAAATATTTACTCATTAAAGTTTTCTTTCTCTAGGCCGGAGGTTACCCCCTTCATTTTTACAATTAGTTTTACTTAAGCAACTCATAAGTTGACAATTGATGAAATGCTATATGCTGTAGTGATACCATTAAAATAGAAGCTGTTCCTGACAAATTTTGTCATGCTGATGATCAACCTGATTCTGAGTTTAAATGTAAAAACGTTTTATCTCTAGATTGAATTATTAATTACTAGTTCTAACTTTTGGGTCTGTAGGAGAAATTGTACGAGGAAAACGTTGAAATAAACCTCTTTGGCTGCTTTTTTGCATTATACTATTATGTTTCTTAGCCTGTTTTAAATAAAAGAAATTTTGGATACAAAATATACTTCTCAGTTTTTGACATTTGAGCATAAATATAATGCTCTCAAACAGTAGCGGAATGATACTTCCGAATCATTCTTCACCGTCCTTTATAGCTCCTAATGCCTAAGCGTTTTAATTAAAAAAAATCGTCAAAGCTAATGCAGGTTGATTTTTCAGTAATCTTATTTATTTTCGGACATTCAGCTTTGGAAAAATTTATCATGTTTATCAAATATCATTCGTCGATTATTTGTGATGAAACAATCTGATAAATAACGCGTATGTAACTAGACCAAAAGGCTATGAAAATCAGTGATTTTCTTTCCAAAGTAGAACAAGAGAGAATGAGCGAAGAGATCATTCTCTCTTTACCAGAATCATTGAACTATCGCAAATCAGCTGTTTTTCGTCCACTGGAGAAAAAAAAAACTCAATTTTACATATCACGATCTTTTTTTTATTTTTAAGTATTCCATAATTAATATTCACATTCTGGCATTTTTTTTGATGACGTGACCTGATCGATGATTCTGTCCCCACTACGCTACAATGTAACAAGTGGATTAGTATGCGAGTTTTGATAGCAGAATTGGTGTACCTTATATCAATTTTCGTATCCTTTTAGAATTCCACGCTTATTGTTACAATCCGTATGAATGCGACTTTTAAGAAGGACTCGGAAAAAACTCGGGAACGGGAAGAGTGTATCTAACATTGCTTGAACCTGCAATGTCAGATACATTTACACCATGACAACCATGGTTATATTCACAGCTGTGTACCCAGAGCGCCTAAAATAAGTCAAATCAATAAAAATGAAAAATAGAAAGAACGTGAAAAACTTTCATTTTAAGTTTCTCTATACAAATGTGATGGTGAATTGAGGGTTTCTGTTCGTCTGTTTCATTTTACTTATTTCCTGATTTTAGTTGGAAGTAAGCAGTATAATTTTAGGGGGAGTTCCGGTGTTCAGGCTTTTTTAGCTTTGGGTTTTGTCTCACTATACAATGGAAAAGAGCAACTGGGGCGAGATGATGTCAATAGACCGGGGAAGCCAGGGAACAACCTGGTTCCCAGGCACCGCAGTCATGTTTGCGACGTTGCCCATCGTTAAGTCTACCCTTAGGGTCCCTTTGAACGAATTCACTATACTTGTCCAACATCATTAAACATTGTTGGAAAATCATCCAACATTGTTAGACGTTAAGGTCGTCAAAAAAGGTGCTAACTAACGTCGAGAGATCACGACCAGCAGCAAACAAACACGCGAGACAGATGTAGCAATTTACAGTTTTAATATCTCAGATCAATACTAACTTATACTTAAATATCAAAGTAATTCTTCCCCTCTATTAGCAAAGGCATGGTTGTATGGATATAAAACGAATGCAGCCGAATAGAACCAAAACGAATGAGTTATATGAATACGGAATACTATGGGCCATTTCCAAGTTCCCTAAAACCTCTGTTTGAAAGCGAGGCAAAGTGCGAAGCCATTGATACCAAAACAGTTTTTTATTCTCGTGGAAATAAAACTCATTTTACAAGAAAGGTTTGGCACTTATGCTCGTTTTGAAAGTGACACTTTTGGAACTCGGAGCTGGCCTATTGAATCATGAACTATCTGCATATTTTGTGATCTGAATTTTTTTTCGATACCCATTGAAGCATTGCTTCGATCCTCATTGCATTTACCCCATTCTTTAGTTCCCTCAATATCTTCATCAAATTTTTCAGAATTAGTGATGAGGCTTATTTTTCTGCAGGAGTAACTCTGGCTCTTATTTTTATACCATTCGTCTCCGTCAACATCATGCTACATTACTTCTTTGTTTTGCTCGGTGTTGCGTCATGGCTTGCTCTGCTGCCTCTGCTGTTACGAGCTTTCGACTTTGATGAAGACTTATCGTTCTTTTCTTGGTTTTTCTCTTTTCGCGGTTTGCCAGAACTCGTGTTCTTGTTAGTAGACTCAGCTTCAGATTTCGAATTAAATTCATCTCTAGGGGCATTATCTTGCAAAACCTGTATCTGACTCTGAATCACTTCACCGACAAATTGTTCAACGTTGGAATCGTCTGTGATTTCAAGGTGATTTTCACCTTCGTCATTACTTTGATCACCCCTACGGGGACTTTCGTCAGAAATTGTCGCCCCAGTGTTCTCAATTTGCTCAACCACTTCCTCCATAACTTCTTCCGCCGGAAGTGTATCAAGCGGTTTCTTTTTCTTTGTCTGGCGCATATCCTTTATTTCATCCGCTTCCTCTTGTAGCATTCCGCTGGCCTTGAACACGCTCCCGACCCTGAAGCCTTCGTCTTTGTCATTATCTGTTTTTTCTAAGGACGTGTCTTCGGGTATAGGTGAGTCGTCTTCTAGCCATCTAGGTGGTGAAGACGATATCGTGAAATTATTCACGCTCTCAAGGTCCTGAGATACACTCGCGCGGAGCAGAGCATGGGAGATTGGAGGGTGTGGGGAAGAGATTGGATTAGTGTCATTGGGAGATGTAACGGACATGACGTTCGTATCAAATGATTGATCACTTGATTGTCCGTTGGTTTTGCTTTCACCATTAGCTTTCGTTTTTTGCCGTTTTTTCCTAGTTCCATGTTTTTTCGTCAAACGTTGCGCCCCGGTTTGTATCAACTGTCCGTTGCCGATAGGGGGTAAAAATGCTACACGAGGGCTTCTCGAAACAAAGGTACTTCCACCGTAATTTTCACGTTTAAAAGGCTTTCCTCGTTCTACCGCGACGTAGAGTCCGCCGGTGACCAGCTCACCAGGAGTAAACACAAGCTTTCCATCAACTGTATACAACGCAGCAATGGCTGCCGCCAAAACAACATGGTCCTGTACAATGTTCAAAATCTGTTCCATACTCTGTTGCAGCCGCTTTTGAAGAACGATTTTCACACTTGGCTTGAAAACATCCCCATTACAGAAAACGTGTAAGATTTTCAGATCGCGTTTTCCCCACTCGTAATCCATCTTATGTCTTCCCTCGGTTACAATTTTCTTGGGGGAAAAGTTCCCTTTTCGGGGCGGGCGTGGCTTCAAGGTACCCAGATCTGCATAGTTCAGCTTTTTAAATTCTTCTCTCCCGGCAGCTACGTACACGCTTTTGTTCTGAATGCCTTCAAGATTTTGCACGGGACGCCCACCGATTGGCGTGCAAATTTTTCGCACGGCGTTGAACGCGGATAAACGCAAGGTGATCTCATCATACAAAGCCTCCATGGAACGGATGCGACGCCTGTTGATGACCATCGTCTTGCCCAGAAAGTTGGGGTTCCCATTTTTGTAAACTTTAACAGTGACTGTCGGAGCAAACGTAGACGCTAGCGCTGTCATTCTATTTACCTAAAAGAGAAAGGTTTTATGTCTGTCAATGGAAAACTGGAAATAGTAGAATAGACTCAATCAAGGCAGATCAGGTCGGCAGGCGAGGTAACGGAGGAAAATATTTCAATTTCCCGTGGTTCAAAAGAGCATGAGTTAGCAGTTGTGGATCAAGGGGAGGGGCCCGGGGGGCCCGCCCCTCCCTTATCTCAGGGTCTGGATGACCACCCCCCTTATCTGAAGGTCTGAATCAGCCACTGGTTAGTCTTAAAGTGCCCATGTGAAACCTCGGTTTAAGACCAACCCGTTGACACTGAAAAGACCAATGAGAAATAGTGACACTTAGATCCTTTGTTATATTCCATCCCTTAACAAAGGTTTTTAGAAGTACACACCTATGTCCAGGATTGAGCACTGTCGCAAAAAATTGCTAACAAATTGTCTTCGCAATTTTGGCAAAAAAAGATTTAAGGAAACTGTTGTCAGAAATGTATAGAAGAAAAATAATAGCAAATATAGCAAGAATAACAAATTCAACAAGGATTGAAAGCTGTAGAAAAAACATGTTTGATAGAAACTGCTTGCAGAAATCTAATGAAAAGAAGTCTGCAAAAATCGCAAAAGTAACAAGAACTTTCATTGCAACAAAAAAAACCTGATAAAAGTCGCAAGAATAACAAGAATAGCAACTAAGCAAAAGTTCAGACTTATAAAGAAAAAGGTAAAGAAGGTCCTAAAGAAGTCCGCAAACGTCGCAAAAATTGAAAAAGTAACAAGAATATTTTGTTGCAATAACATCAACAACAACAACAACAACAACAACAAAAACGCTAACAAAATGCACCGCAAGAATAAGAACAATAATAAAAATTTAGCAAAAATTTTGACTTTTTTTATATAAAGAAGAAAGGTAAAGAAGGTCCTCTAGAAGCCTGCAAATTTCGCACAAATCGCAAAAGTGACAAGAATTTTCATTCAACAACAACAAAACACGCTAACAAATATCGCAAGAATAGCAAGAATAACAAATTAAGCAAAAGTTCAGACTTGTAAAGGAGAGTAGCAAAGAGGGCCTAGCTCTAAAAGCAAGAATTTTACTTACAAAGAAAAACACTTTAACAAATATCGAATCCATACCAAGAATAACAAATTTAGCAGAAGTTCAGACTTATATAGAGCAAAGGAAACGGATTTTCCAGACAAATTGACACTAAAAGTTAAGCGCTCCGTCGGTTCCGCGAGGGTTTGCGAGACACGTATTTCTCGTTTAGAAAAGGCTTATTACAATGTGACTGTATGACGATGTAAAAATATCATATACCCCATTTAATTATACGACCAGATTTGCATGGCTATCAGCACTGCGATGGTCGTATTAGCAGGGTTCTATTGCGAACATAACTTCAAAATGACAAAGAAAAAGAAACAGGGCGGCCTCAATTACTGAGAACTCCAGAACAACTTTTGAAACATGTTCAGTGAATTTTTTTGATTTTTCGTGAATTTCCATATTTCAAATACGAATTAACATGTTTACTACTCGGGGTGACGAGAATAAATTTGTGAAAATTGACTTGCCAAATATCTTCTAATACATTTCTCGGCTTAAAATACAAAATATTTCAAAGTTTATAACACAATAATTTATCCATATCAATGTTAAAAGCCCTGTTTGTCAAAAATGGAGCACAGGCCATTTCCTCATCCGACGAGTTAAAAGCTTAGTGTTAGCAAATAAAGTATTAAAAACATATACACACTTTTACTTTTCAGTTACCGAATTAGGTTTATTTAATTTGTTGCCGAGATATGCGATACAGCTGGCGAGATAAAAGCTAAATCAGTTTAAATGGATGAGCAAAAATTTGCAAATTCACTGAAGAGCACTTTAATTTTGTTATAAGCTCTCTTTTTCCCCTTAAAAGCGCCCTTTAATATTGTAAGCACTATGACAACATGAAAATGTTTAGCAAATAGATTGACGGTCGTTATGGCCGTACTGTTTAACAACAGAGTTTTTATCGTTCCTGAATCTCCAAGCAAACGCACAGCAAAAAGAAAGCTTAGGTTTAGAGAACATAGAAAGCTTTGATTCGTGCTTGAACAGTAGTATATCCCATATTTACTGATCATGCTGAAAAGTCGAGGGATGACGAAGGCAGTCTTACCATCTATTTAAGTTAAGGCTATTTCGTTAAAATTAAATGCGCTTAAACATGTTCCGAAAATTAACGTAATGCTTTAGGAAAAACAAGAAAAAGTTAATGATGACCCGGCTATTAACTGCCAGTACCAAGAGCAAGGACTCAGTAAATAGCTAGCCGAAAACTGAAACAACTAGCCCCATACATGAATATTTTCATATTTGACAGTGGGGTGACTGACCACGTTGGTCGACTAGCTAGTTATTCGCACTGTTTGTTTTTTTTTTAATGTCGATTTCATGAAAGGCTACAACTCACCAAGCATTTATAGCTAAAATCTCAGAGTACATTTTCATCTTGGTATCGTCCAATTACTTTACACAGTACGTAACTGATTGGTTTCAAAAATATTTGAATATGTTGACAATGTTAAGTGCTACTGTGATCGAATCTTGAACTGTAGAGGATTTTTCAATACAGCAGCCAGTTTCGTAAAAGTTATTGAGAAAAAATTATCATGCACTAAAAAATAATAATAATGGCGGAGCACTCGCGTACCCTTTGGGAGCTTGCCTGCCAGTCGCCGGAGCCTTCTCCTTTCCCAGCTGGCGTCTTCGTGTTGAAGTCTCTTCGCAGCTTTTAAGTACAATCGTGCTGCAAAAGAATAATTGTGGTGCTGATGATATTTAAGTTTGTTCACGCTGATTACAATTTCAAATTCCTTCTGATTAGGTATCGTTGTTTTGGTAATAGGTGAAAATGTAGTCTCTTAGCGCGGATGAACCCGCGAGCTTGTATAGGGGACGACATAAGCACATACATTTTCATATTCCTTTTGGAAATAAAAGAAATATGGCATCGATTATTGCCCACCAAAATTCTTGTTAATAAAACCGAATCAGGCGGCGTGTAAACTTTGTTTTTTTCCTCGTACGGCGGACTTCAATTCCAACCAAGCTTTTGTCTAACAGTTTAAGGCGAAGAAAAAAACAGTTCCCAATATTTCCTCTTACGAAGGAATGATTCAAAGTCCGGCGAATCTTTCAGGACTACATGATCCGCGGATAATTCCAAGGCACTCTTTAAAGCTTTGATTTAATGGTCTTTAATTTACTTGCCTGATAGAGAGTGGAAAATTATTCTGCAACCACTTACTTTAAGCGCACCAAAGGTAAGTTATTTCGGGCAATAATTTTAATGAAGAACACGTTCTTATATGTATAGCGTTTTCTTTTCGATACAATTAGTTCGCGAAGTGTTCTTTTAAGAATGTATACAGCAGAAATTTAGTATTCGTTATCATCGCAGAAACTAGAATCAATCTTACCTTTTTCGTTGATCCGTTAAAATTTCTGCTTTCTTTTTTGCCGATGAACGGAGATGTTCTAAACAATTGAAGACTTTGATTACGTTTTCGCTAAACTATACATCAAATCCACCAAAAACATATAACACAGCTCTTTCCGTTTCAAGATGGCTGACAAGTCCGTCTGTTGTAGTGGCAAAACTTTTGGCATATGGAAATTTTTTAAAACCTATTATCATCGCGAAAAGCGTTGTTATTTATATGAACGACAAAAAACAAATTGGACGGCTGTTTTGGTGTTGGGCCAAGATCTTTTCTTTTGTGGTGAATAACACCCCGGGCAGTATTTAAAATAATAAATATTTTTCGAGAATTTACCTCGTAAAATGAAACATTAATTGTAAAGACAACCTAAAAACAGTAAAAGGGATTTTGCGTTTCCACGGCTACGTATACATAGCAACAAGCTATTGTTAAAGTGGCGAGCGGTTTGAGGACCTTGTTATTAAAGATGGTTTAATAAATTGAAATAACTTTCGTTTCTTTTAATGAAATATTGTTTACTCTAGAAGCGAAATACATTAAATGTTTTGTGAGAAAACATTTCTTGCAGGTAAACAAAATAATTCGTCTGTTTTATGTTAATGTAGAAAATGTTTTCGAGTCTAGTGCGATTCATGACGTAGCCTGCGAATACAGCCGCCTCTCCTCAGGGTCACACAGCGACTGTTTTCTGTAAAATATCTGCTCGAAGAAGCAAATATTGCCTAGAATTTTCTTTTACTTGAGGACGGCTAAATATTTCTGGATGACCGTCTCATTCATGTACAATTTTCGAAGCTTATTTAATAAATTCCCTACTACGACTTTCTGAAGTTTAATTTCCACGTTAGGCTATTTTTCGAAGAAAAAAGGAAACCTAACATTTTCGGATTGAAAAATGCGATGGAGAGAGGAATCAGAAAATGTATCACTTTCATACTACGTCAAAATGCCTCTAAAATATTCGGGAAAATAACTGACTCAAGCCCTTGTAATTTCGAGAAGACGCTAGGATGACCAAACAGATACAAATTTTATAGGGCCGATTAGATTACATTTCTAGATGCCTAAAAGTACTCTGGATAGCCTAAAAAGTGATTTCAATGTATTTAGGAGGAGACCGTCGTTGGGTGCCCCTGTCTCCTCGCTCCCGTTTCCACAAGGGACGTTTCACGGGAAGAGATCTGACTCCCTCCCAGCGAAATGTACTCTGCTGCGAGGGGCGAGGAAAGACCGCAGGTTTATGACGTTATGATTGGCTTAGGCTTAACATGATACACACAGAAGTTATAAAAGGAAATGCGGATAATTATCTGTCCAGGGCCTAAACTATACTATACACTCTTTTGCAAGATTGAATTATAATATAGTTAACATTACTACTGGATCGATCCTGTCATTGAGTGCATGAAACAGAAAGGAAATACAAATTAAAGGTAACAAATCCTAGCTGCTTCTGGTTCACCCTGAGTGATAGAAAATGGCGAATAAATGGAACAAGTGGGATAAAAGCGGGGCAGTATCTCCATAATGTCCAAAGCTTTTTTGGCGTATTGACGGGCTCATAAGTCAGTCCCTCTATACAGTAAGCGTGGAATATGATCATATCTATTAGATAACATACAAGTTTCATTCGAACAGAATATGTAAATTTGAAATAAGTCATAAAACTTCATATCTTGCTTGTTATTGCATTGTTGTCGCTTCTGGGAGACAGTGCCTTTCTGACGGAGCTACCCTCTTTTGGCGTTATATTCTAAATTCGGAGTCAGAAGAACTCTCTCCCTCCCCCCATCCCCTCATCCCCCTCTTCCTCCTTGAACTAGGAAAGGCCTAGTTGTCAGGTTGCTGCTAATACGAAGAACTTCCTCAATCAGGAGAGAAATCGGCTCTTGCCTAAATTGACAAGTTCGAAATACGACGTTACTTATATGACCTCCATGAAAAGTGTGACCTAAGTAGTTTCAACACAAGGATTATATATAAACCAGAGTGGACTTTTTCTGTCTTACATTTTCCGTTCTTTCGATCACAGAGAGTGTGAGTTCAAAACTGATAGGAATTACAAATTACTGCCAATAAAAATTGTAAATAAATAGAGAAAAGTGATACGTAAAAAGGTGACAACACAGTCAGGTGACACATGCATATTTAGTCAACTTCGCACAAACTACAAAATTCAACCAACAATCGCACTTGTAATAAAGAAGCCGAATATATGACTTTAAAAAAGAATCACCCCTAAATTTCAACTGCCTTTGTCGATTCTGAAATGAAATGTTAAGTAACCCAGTAGACACTTTTCACTACAAATATAACAGAAAAGGAAAACTTGTGATGATAAAACTTTCCATATGATAATCGCCTCCCTCAAAGTGGATGGTAACAGTTTTTCCATATATCGATGTTTTTGCGATGGATCAGGGAAAAAAGGCCATCAGAATTCCCAGTAATTTGGTGATCACTATTTGTGGTCATTTTCTTGAGGTAAAAGGCAAAGTACCACAAAACGTGAAAATTTCAAGCTGGGTTCAATATTAAACTTTTATATGAGTAGTTTACAAGAGTACCCATTGTTATATTGTTATATAGCTACACTGGTAAATTACATGTAACTGATTAAATTGACCTTGCTGAAATCACCTTTTATGTTACCTTTTTCTGCTTGTAAAAGAAAAATGGGCTCTTTGACTCCAATTTTGTAATTTGCACAATTCAGAGCAATTATTGGATAAGGCTGAGCATGATCTGAAGAAATGTGGAGATCAAGGGGGGTGTTATCCGAGGCCGATAACTCTTTCCGAGATCTTCTTAACTTTTCAGATGACACGAAAGCCGAATCCAATAATTGTTTTGTTATTCTTTCAAAATAATTCCGAGATTACAAACAAGCTAAACCTGCATGCTTACCCTGATGTTAAGTTCCAGTCTTCATTTGATTTTTCTCTGAAAGTTAAGGATATAGAGGAAATTTAGTAGAGCAGGTAATCTTCAAATAGCAGATGTCATCCGTTGAGATATATCATTGCTGTTCTTGCTATATTTATAGGCAGGGTATAGGCTCAACACATTTTTTTCGTAATTTATTGTTTTGTAGTAAAGCCGACTTCCGTTCAGCAAATTAACCCTCCGCTGTAATTTTTTTCAGTGAGATCGTGAGGGCAGTCTCTACTACGAAGGCGTGTGAGTTAACTGAGTAGTTTGTTTTAAAAGAATAAGGTCTTCACCTTTCGAGATCTTTATAATCTTTTCTGGAGCTGAGTCTCGCGCGAAATTTCTCAAGGTCCAAAGTGCACTTTTCTGGTCTGGAAGTGTACTGTGATTGGTCTACGTTTTGTACCTCTCGATTCAGCAGACGTTTGTGGGGCATGAACGCTTGACGATGGCCTAAAACTTGAGCATTCGAAACAGAAACAAAGCGGAAACCGAGCGAAACCTCCAAAACACATACTGTTATCTGTTAGTTATCACAATTTACACGAAGGCTGCATGCCGTACGCTTTCAGAAAGATGCGTTGGACATGTTTTACGGCCCCCTTACAGATTAAAACCTCCCTGCTCCACTTGACGCTGCAAGAACCTATATTTGACATGAGAGAACAGATTTCGGAGGGTGGCTGCATGTGTGGAAAATGAATGCTTCAAAAGGAGACAATAAAGATATTTTTGATTTTGGAGCAAAAACCGGAAACAATTTCGCCAATCTTGTACAGGGTGAAATGCTGGCGCCGGGTATGATAAAGGTGGAATTTGCAGTTGAACTGAAAATGACAAGAAGCAATGAAGAAGGTGAGTTGTACACAGTTAAAAATTACATAAAAACGCGGCACATGTTTTTCAAAACGAAAACCAAAACGAAATCAGGCGAAAAGTGAGGGTTAAAAACAAAATTGACAGTTATAATCAAAATGGGTCGATGCAGAATTCGAAGAGCCTTTGCAAACGTGGCAAGATATTAACTGCGCTTTTGCCGGAACATACATGCCACTCCCAAAAAGCTCCAAAACAAGAAAGCGATCATCAACGTACAAAGCAAAAGAGACAACGAGTTTCTGAAATGGGCAATCCGAGCGTCGCTGTTCTCAGAGCCAAAGGGGAAGAACCCCTGCAGAACGACCAGTTATCCCACAGAGGATAGGATCAACTATTCAGGAATAGCCTTTCCAACCCCCTTGAAGGATCTTGACAAGTGTGAAGCGCAAAATGAAAACATTGCGCTCAATGTTTTTGGTTGAAACGGAAGAGTGACCGTGCACAGAATAACCAATAAACCAAAAGGAAAGCCAGTTATCACCT